ATTATTTGTATCATTTTTATGATATTAGATTCTTATTCTAGATTAGATCCAGGAATAGTGGATGCAAAAAATGATGTATAATGCCGGTGTTTTTAAGGGATTTTAAGGATTTTAGGAAAATTTTAAAGATTTTGATATTTTTTAAAGATTTTTTTACTTTGCTAAACTTTTATTTTTTATAGTAATTGAGAAATATGACGTTTGCGTAAAGACGTGTGCAAATTTGAAAACGAAAAAAATAGATAAGAGAAACTTCTTTCAGAGTACAGCCGCCCTTGTCCAACGACACTTTACTATGTGTGCACATAGCAATTATCGATCAACACTAAGAATGTCAATAAGAAGTCATCAGTTCCATTTGCACCGTTATGCACAAGACGTGTCATGTGCAACATATCTAATATTAGCTCCAATCAATGTCAATAAAGAAGGAAATAACCGTGTCACGAATACACATGCGGTGCACTTACACGTGTAACGATTCTCTTTGCGAATATATATAAAGGTACCTTAATCCTGAATAAGGCAATTCGTTTCGCGCAAACGTTGCCGTCGGCGCGCGCGCAAAATCGGTTGCGGTTCGCCACGAGTATCATAAAACTGTAACGCGTGACTTAATCGATATATGCAACAGGACATAAATTTCCATCAACATTTTTTACGACGGCATTATTGTATGTTTCCGGTTAAAAACGCCCGTTTATTCGCAATAAATAGCGTCGCGATACCTAGTTTTGCCATAAAAATTAAAGCTCGGAACGCAGATTGCGTATCTAAGTATAAAATAGGTCTATTCGATATTTCGAAAAAATCCGAAAAATTCTGACATTTCGGAAAAAAGGAACATCGATTATGCATGAAATCGAGACACAGAAAATTCTCCAAGATGAACAGTGTTTCGAAATAGTTCGCAAAAAACTTCAACAGGACGCGATGGATGACTTCTCACTGGTCAACTACGAAATCGTGCCAATAGATGAGGTAAACGGATACATAGGCCAGTATTTTACATTAAAAGCCACTGTGGCTCGTCCAAAATCACCGTTGGAGACAAAGAGCATCAATTTCTTTACTAAGGTGCTACCGCCGATTAGCAGCCCGCTGTACAATTATTCTCAGGATTACGGTTTATTCAGAAAGGAAATAGCTCTCTACACTACGGTATTTCCGGAAATACTGGATGATCTTGATAAGAGATGTATTCCGGAATGTTTCCTCGGAATTGAAAACGACGTGATTGTTCTCGAAGATATGGCTTATAACGGTTACACGATGATCGATAAGTATATACCTTTCGATTTCGAGCATTGCGAAATTCTAATGAAGACGCTTGCCAAGTTCCATGCAAAATCTTTCATCTTCGAACAGCAGTACAAGAAAACCTTACACGACAAATTTTCCCATTGTATGCATGAGACTCTTTGGCCGTGTGCGGATGACAGAGCGAAGGCAATGTTCGACGCCGCCGTAAAGGGCGTCGTTTCAATGATTGATTTGCTGCCTCAATTAAATGACGATGAACGCAGTGATTTCAAGGAGAAGATTGTAAAACTGTGTGCGAATCATATAGATAAACTATCACCGTCGGTAAAGCATAAGAACGTATTATGCCATGGTGATCTATGGGCGAATAATATATTATTTAAGTACGATGCCGACAAGAAACCTGTTGAATGCTGTCTTATCGATTTTCAATTAGCAAGGTAAAACTACATGTTTTTTTAAAATTAAAAACGAAAGAAGTAAGAGTGTATATCTAACTAAAAAATGCTTTAAATATAAATTTAATTTTTTATTAATTATAATTTTTTAAAATTATAATTCAGATTTTTACATAAAGGATATATAAAAGTAAAAATCTTTCGATCATTAAAGATGCTATATAACATAATAATTATATATTTTTAATAAAAATTTTACGGAAAATTTTAACAAAATTTATGACAAAGATTTATTATAGTTTTTATTATAAATTATTTTTATAATATAGTATTTTATAAAATATTTTTTATTATAAAGTCATATTATTTTTATCCCTTTTTTACATGGAGGTACAATCCACCAGTACACGACATATTGTGTTTTCTTCAATTCACGACTACACGGGAGCTACGAGAGAAACATAGTGAGACACTTTTCAGGATCTATCATGATTCCATGGCGATTGTAATAAATGAAGCTGGTTTTAATATCTCAGAGATCTTTTCTTGGAGTGATTTTATCGAATCTATTCAAGATTTACGTATTACGTGCTTAATTCATGGTGTCTTAAACACACCGATTATGTTGTTGGAACCTAATATAGCTAGTAAATATTTTTCCAAGAAACCAGAATTTCTTGAAAGTATTCTATACGAAGATAGAACACCATTACTTTGTGAGCAATTTAAGGAAGCACCAAAATACTGTGCTCGCATGATAGACGGCTTGTTAGAATTGTATGATTATATAATTGGTCATTAATATTAATTATAAATGGTCATTATTACAAGACATAATCAAATTTTAAATAAAATTTACATCTTTTTGTTGAAGTTTTTACAAACAAAGAAAAGTTAGAATTAAAAAATGCATATTTTATATTTAAAAAAATGGTAAATAAAGTTAAACAGAAAAAAAATTAAAGAAAAACGCCTTTTAAGATTGATTAGCCTAGATATCGATAGATCTTTTTTTCCAATAATATTCTAATAAATAAATTATAACAAATGTGACAAAAATGATATCACATATAAAATCATGTTGCTTAAGTTTCAAACATTAAACATCAATTTCTATAAAAATATATAAAATTGTAAATTTAGAAGTATTTAAATAGAAAAACATTATCGACGTTGGTGTTGGTGAAAAATATATGAAGAAATATTAATAAATCTATTTAAAATGTATAATGTATTTATAAATATAAATATAAATATAAATATAAATATTCCTATTAATTATACAAGTTTATAAAATTTATTATTAAGAAAGACTAATTTTATTATGTTTTATTAATTAATACAAAAATAAATGTAATTAAAAAAACTGCTGCCTATGCATGAAACAGCATAAATTACAATATACACATTGCTAGAATAATATTCTAGCATAAAACAAGTTGTTAATATTGTTTCATAACGCGAGTACTTACTTTTGCGCGTGAAGTTATACTAATTATTAATAGCATTTATCAGTAATTTGTTCTACATATAGTGATAACTTGGCGACACTAACTGCGATCTAACTCCGGATATTTTTTTAAATATATTGTATCAATCAGCAAAATATGTCTTCATGAAAGTAACGCACTATCTTTTCTTACTTGTATAATTTGATTATTTTAATCATATTATTAAAAATTTAATTATTTAATATAATATTATAGTATGATAAGCAAGTAAATATTTACATATAGATTTTCAAATGTAAACTAACTGGATGCACATATTAGTACTGTGATATTTCTAATATATATGATTTTTGTCGTAATAAATAAAAATAAACTATTATTGACAAAAATGATATAGAATATAGAATGTATCTTATACTTACCTTTATTAAACTTTCCCATTGCTTTCAGATGTAACGGAAAATTGATTTATTATTTTCTTCATAAAATATTTTAATGAATATATTTAGCAAATTAAAAGTCAAATAAAAACTTAAAATTAAAAATTTTTTAATATTTAAAAATACAAAATTAATAAAATAATTTAACTATATGCAATTAACTATAATAAAATAAGAAATTTTATTTAAAATTCAAATTTAATTAAAACACAACACAGTTCACAGTTTCACTTTATCATGGAAATTATTAAAAATTTTTAAATAGAGCACATCCTGATATATGATAGATGGTCTCACTTTTTCAAGAAAATCTTTTCTAAAAGTTTTTCCTGAAAATAACGTAGAATGTATATATTTGCATGAAAACATTTTCTTTCTCTTATCTATGTTAATCTAATAATTGTTAAATAGTTAATGTAAGA